TGACTTACTTCATCTTTAATCCTACTATCCCCACAAGAGTCAGCATATCTATTCAGTAAAATGTCTAACATGCCTGGCCATGGTCTCATCTTGACATATTTCATTCTAGGATGATCATGAATATAATAGCAGTGTAGGGAATTGTATGGCATAGTGAATTAGTAGGGCTGTAGTCCTCTTCACCAGGCCTTGGTTGCCAATTTGACTCCAGGTTGGTAGTGACTTTAGAGTTGCCAACTGATGGTTGTTTGGGGGCATATATGAAATGAATTGGTGGTTGTCAGGCCAGATCCTAATGGAATTGTGTCCACATGATAAAAATCATCACAATTGACACCAATTTCTTTCAGTCAAAGACTGAATGGGCCATCTCTCTCTCCATTAGAGGCCATCCCGCCCACTCCTGGAGGAGGGGGGAGGAGTATCTTTGAAGGAGTGTGCTGTTGTGTACGTGTCCTGTGGCTACATACAGAACTTTATTATTATTATTACAAATCATTGTATAGCTCCATAGCGTGTATGGGTCCCTAAAGAATCTTACCGTTTGATTCAGGCAAATACAATACATACCATGGTGCCAAAAGTGCACAGGCAGACAAGCAGATTTAAAGGGTGAGGCAGAAGGGTTAAAGGAGACAGACATAGCTCTATCTAAGTTTTCATACCATACATCATCACAGTATCATAGGATTAGTGAGAAGAAGGGGGAAAGAGTAGGTTTTAAAGAGAGAGATTTGAAGAAGGAAACAGAAAGCTCTTGGCACAAAGAAGGAAAAGACTATTTCAAGAGCAGGGAGGAAAAAGACACAAAGCTGAGAGCTGGAGAAGGAAATAAAGGGATCATTAAGGAGAGAGGTTTGGGCAGAGCATACAGCTTGGGAGGGCTGGGGGTGGGGAAGCAGGATGAGCAAAGCTGTGCAAAGCTTGGAAAAGGAATTGGGGGTAACAAGGTTGGTGCAGCAGATCACTTTAGCTGCAGCAATTTGGACAGACTGGAGTGGGGGGCAGGAAGGCTCCTTAGACTGTCAATCCCGACACCTTTCACAGTACTAGTCATTTGAAATTTTAATTTTTTCCATTTTCCACCCATTACCACTTCCTCAAGGCTTTAGTGGCTATTTGTTTAGAAAGCTTTAGGAAAAAGTCCTTCCATTGCAGAAACCAAAGTACTCAATACAATATGTCACATGCAGGAAACTGTGGGATTTAGTCATATCTAAAGATAATAGGGTCACAAGTGTTTCTATATTTACTATCAAAGCTATGAAGGGAAATGCTGATTTGCAGGTTCCTATTCAGACACACCATGTGCTGTGATGACCTGTACTTGCAGAGTCTGGCACACAACGAATGGCTGTTGTTCTACCTGGGGGAACACTGTAATTGCTGGTGTGCAATGCAGTTTATTCAAACAGTGATATTAACATATTTAGAAACAGAGATGTGTGATGCAGCTCCTTTTAGCTCAAATCACTTTACAGAAATTAATTAAGCCACACTCCATCTCTGTGCAACGGTATTGGTACATCCATTTCACAGATGGGCAACTCGAGGCAGAGAGAAGTAAGTTAAGTGACTTGCCCAAAGTCATACACCAAGTAAGTGCCAGACTCCTAGTCACCTGCTCAAATCACTAGACAACACTGTTCTCATCCATCAGAGCACAAAGTCACAGAATCTCCATTAAACTAAAGAGCTCTCAAAAGGCATGGACTGATGCAATTGCTGGAGGAGTTCTGTCCTATTGTGGTATGTACTTATGGGAGGTTGCATTGTAGGGCTTGACCTGGTCTGCCCTCCACTTCCTTGCCTCATCTCTGATACACAGTGGAGACCACTGGGATTCCATGCATTTGTTTCATCATCAGCTGCTGAAAAACAAGTGGCTGAAACTCATTGTGTGCTCATTATTAGACTTCTAGATGTGCTCTCTTCTCAATTTAAAGGACAAGGAATATTGATTATGTATCTATATATTTTACTCTGACTTGGGGTTACGTTAACCATCTTTCTTACATTTTAAGGGCATCCATCATTTCTTGTTATTGTTCCACACCCTTTATTTCGATAATGAGAGACTAAAAACATTTGATCAGAGAAAAAACAGTTGCAAGGAAATCATGCAAAGGAGGACATCATAAATGTCTGATTTTTGTACAAGCAGTACAATGTTGCTGGGTGGTGTCCCTTAAATGTAACCTTTGTCCTGAGTTGTTCATACACTTGTGATTTATTTCCTTGATGTGCTCAACCTCACTGGGTGTGTGCGTTGGTTTGCACGTTTAAGGAGCCTATCTATGATCAATGCTTGAACTGAAGGGAGACATGTCCTTGGTGCTCAGTTTATGCAGGAAGGAGGCTCACAAAAACGCCAAATGGATCCCCCTTTTCTGGTTACTCCTCAATAATATCTCCCACTGGAGATCTTTTTTCACCCAGGTTCATCAAGAGCCTCCTGAAGACCAAACATTTTGCGTTTGGAATTCTCCAGATGATCTGTCGTTTCAAAGACATTTCCTAGGGGAAAATTGCCCCCCTGCGCACGGACCCCCTACAAGGACTTCATCCCCCCCTGTAATTACTCAGCTGGAGCACTGGAGTTGATCTTTGGTCATGCCTCTCTTGCCTGCAACTCCCTCCCGGGGAGCTGTCATCACCACAGCTACGCTCTGTGCCGGGCTGCAGCTGCTAACGCAAAGGCTTGTACGTTGCATCAGCAAACAGCACAGATTCCATGATGCTCTAGACGCTGGGGTTATCCAGCAGCCGCTTTACTGGAAGCCGCGGGAGCAGAGGGAGTGATCGCTGCGTGCGGTGCGCCTCCCGGATCAGCCACCAGCCTCCCCTGCCTGCGCCCCTCCCAGGCATTACTGGAAGGGGTGGGCCCACTCAGCGGCAGGCTCTTGTGGGGAAGGGAGTAACGCTTTTGGCAGAGCTGCCATTTGGCGGGGAACGAGGAGAGAAACACCCGTTGATGCCCAGGTGCTAGGGGCAGAAGAGGCGGGGACCGGCGCAGCCTGTTCTGCTTGGATCCCTCCTCCTGGGGTCGGGTCGCTCCTCGGGGGGACTTGGCTGCGGCTCTGTGGGCCCTGCTCTCCGGCTCGCTGCTCAGGGCACGGGAGCCCGCTGTGATGAGGGGAGAGCTGGCAAGGGTGACCCATGGTCTGAGTCCTCTCCCCCCGCCCCCTCCGCACGTATTGCTGCGGCCCTCCTGCCTCCCACCAGGCAGCTGCGTTGACTCGTCCTGCTGGGAAGGGCTTGTGTAAACACAGCACGGAGCGCGCCTGTTTCCAGCGGAAGGGGCAGCGCCTCTCCAGAGTGTGCAGAGGAGTTTTACGCGTGGCCAGCCCCGGGGCGGGGGGAGATCAGGGTTAGGGTCTGAGCCGTAAGAGGGTGAGGGGCGAAATCCGCCTTTGGTACGGTGCCCCCCCCCCCCTTTGCAGCCAACCCTCAAAGCAATGTCCCGGCGGAGTTCGGGGGAACGCTGGTGCTAAACCAGCGAGATCGATGCCTTGCACGGGAATGAAGGCAACAAATACGAACTTTTTCTCGCTGATCCTGCTCTAGTTAGAGTCTCCCAGAGAACAGCAACCAGGGGAAACAATGCCAATGAGCACTGTGCAGGCAGGGCTGCAAAGCCAGCCGCTGGATCCAGCTTCCCCCGCGGTGCAAAACCAGCATCTGGATCCAGCTCTTCCCCCTCCCCCCCCTGCAAGGTCAACTCTGGATCCAATTGCACACTCACGGGCTCCCCCCGCAAGGACAACTCTGGATCCAGTTGTACACACACACACACCCGTTGCAAAGATAACTCTGGATCCAATTGCCCTCTCCCCCCCCCAGCACTGCAAAGCCAGCGCCGGGGTGATTTTGGATCCAGCCCCCGCCTGCCCCGGCATCACAGAGCCAGGTGCGCGTTCAAGAGGAACTCGACTCGAATCTCCGCTTCTCTCTCCCCTTTTCTGACCCGGTTCCCCTTTAAGCGGAGCCGATCTGGTGCAAGCGAGTAGGGAATCCCTCTCGGGCCGCGTCATCCTAACCAAGGAAACCCGCGCTGGCGTCGGATAACGCAAATGACCATTTTTGGCAACGTGCGGCAATGGAACAGACTAAAGGCCGCCAGTGAGTGGGGGGAAGGGGCGGGCTCTGCCGGTAACAAATCAAGCGCGCTGGGTCCCGGCTGCTCCCCCGCCGCCCTGGGGATGGTGCCGTCTCGCCCTGCAGGGCTCTGAGATTGGTTTGCAGGCGGCGGGCTGGGTTTGGCCAAGTGGGATTAAGTGGGCGGGGTGATTTTCCCCCTCCCCCTGCCAGGTGGAAGACTCCCCTTTGCAAGGTGGGGTTTGGCGAGCTGGGAGTTTGACGTGTGTGACTCCACATGGTACAGCTCTCAGAGGAGGGGATGGATAATAAGAGTGTGGAGTTGAACTAATGCCATTGCACTGACTCATCCAGGGAGAGCAAAGGAGCTCAGAGAACAAGATACCAGAGAGCGACTCAGACAGAAAGGGGGGCAGGCGACAAGGGGGGAGAAGAGAGAGACTCACACGGGAGCAGAGACGGGCAGGCAGCAAGTGTAAAGATCAACAATTCAGGGAGTTTAAAAAGAAATCAAGAGGCTAAAGTCCTGGACTGAGTCATCCAGTCTAGTGAGAGCAGGGAACTGGCACTTTTATAAAGGATTTAATTAAATAGGAGGCAAAGAGCCTCTTGATTGAAAACTACAGAGCCAGATAAGCGTTGAAACCAGAACAAATATTCACAGGAAGTCTGAAGGAGGGCAATAGACACACGCGTTTTAAGTGTGTGTGTTTAGGTCTCTTTTTCCTCCCCTTTCTCTTCGGAGCAAATGTAACAGATTTTAAGACAGAAAGAAACTCTAAAACAAAGAGAGACGTCTAATTTACACTTCTTTTTGCGGCAAATTTTAAATCCACATTTTTTTCTGAGTGCACCAAAGACCTCTGGGACTAGTGGCTCTATTTTGTGAGGTGGGGAATATTATTTCCCCCCAGTCTTGAGTGGAGGAAAAAGTTGAGGAAAGGGCTTTATTCTTAACTCTTTATTTAAAAAAAAAACCCCACAAATCTTTACGGAGTGCAGTTGGAAGGCTGAAAATAAAAATCAGGCGAGAGAGGCGGAGAAATAGAGCGTGTGTGTGAAGGAAAAAAACATTGTGTTTCTCTCCGACTTCTACCTCGGATCATGTACCAGGACTATCCCGGGAACTTTGATACCTCCTCCAGGGGCAGCAGCGGCTCTCCAGGCCACCCAGAGACTTACTCCAGCGGCACAGCACAACAGGTAGGGGCGGTCACAGGTACCTTGCCATGCAACTGACATGATCAAAGCTTCTCTTCTCCCCCTCCTCCCAATGCATCTTTATTTCTGATCATCTGAGCACCCTCTGCTGTAGCACCCAAGGACAGTAGGTAACACAGTTCTGTCTTCCACTTTGCACACCAAGAGTTTTACTTTGAGACCAGGTCTCCGCTTCAGACAGGATTAAATAATATAGTGTGGCTGTGTATAACATCTGTGTGTATGTAATATCCTTGTTATATTGTGCTTTTGTGGGCCATTTTCCTGTAAGATACTTAAAAAAAAATCTGCTTAACCAAATAGTAAAGTTCACTTGCCACACCCAGTCCACTTTCTGAGCGCCTTTATCAGACCTCTGCCTAGTTGGAGATTAGGGGAATAATAGGTGCTGCCTATCCTTTGGCACTCCGAGTCCATTTCGAGTCCACGCCTTAAAAGGAGGGGGAAAACAACTTCTGTCTTTGCAAGAGTTTGGGCGTTTTTGTGTGAGTGTAAGTAATGAGGAATCTAATCTACGGATTTACAGGACGCCAGGTCAGGAGAGAAAAGCAACGTTTAATCGCCAGTGCAGCTAAGTGTCTAGAGTGTGTGTGTGTGTGTTTAAATGTTGCTTTATATTTCCTCCTAAACTACCGTCTCAAGCGATCCAGTTGCTGTCAGCGGGGTCTGTGCTGAAAACACACACCCTAGTGTTGCCGCCGCCGCGACATTACTGGGTCAGTCACTCATCCTGGGTTCTGCTGTCCTCTGCTGGAGTTAATTTGGGCTGAAAGAATCAACGTGTGTGTGTGTGTGTGTGTGTGTGTGAGTGTGAGAGAGAGAGGGGGAGACTGTAACGCATATACTTTCGTTTTATGCCAGTTTGGGAATTGGAGGCGCTGTGTGTGTGTGGATTCCTGATGGATTTCCTAGTGGGAGTAATTACAAAAAAAGAGAGTGTATTAAAATGACTTTCAACCAATTTGTCTCTGTGTATGGAAATGTGTATGTGTTTATATATAAATACATGCAGTATGTTGTGCATATACTGTATGACTGCTGCTCTGCACCTTATGTGCATATTTGAGTGTATGCAATGAATTTGCATTACTACTTCTTATATGAAATGTTTCACAGTGCCAAAAATATCAACTCTTACTCTGCTATCCACTAAAATAGTGTTCTTTTCTATACTTATCCCATGTGCTAGCTGAGCATACCTACAGACATGGCAGATGTCATCAAACAGGCACTGAAGACTTGGAAGTCAGAATCCCTGACTTTTTTATTTATCCTTGGAAAGTCAAGGGAATGCGATGTAACCTGAAATACTGCCAGTTCTGTAGGAATTCAACCAAACATTCAACCCAAATGAAATGGTGCTAGTGACTACTGTTTACATTTGTGTTTCAAAAAGCCATCTATTATCGGTGACATTTCAGAATCTTGATGGGAGACAGGACACCAGGAAATAGGGTCTGCTCCTGACATCCCTAGGCAGCTTGCCTGAGTAAAAAGTGTAGAGGTGGGTTCTTGATCTTTACACAAGAGTATCACACCTTAATCTCATCAGTCTGCTTTCAGATTGCTCCCAAAGCCTGTAGATAAGAGATGAATTTCTAAGTAGGCCAATAGTTTTAAGACTAAGGTGGGAATGCTCCAAGAAGGGGTGCTCCTCTGCTTCACAAACTTTCCTGGAAAAGAAGACTTTCTGTTTTCTGCTCAGATAACTCAGATTGTATCACTGAACACAAACCTGGTATCTAGCTCCAATTCCTATAGATAGGCAATACAATCAAGGGGCTCAGATTCTTAAAAATAATAGTAATAATAATAAAATGAAAATTTGGAAGAACATTACATGGTCTTTGGGTCACAGTTCTATTTGGAGCTTTCCCGCTACCTCATTGAATTAGTTATCCCTTTTTTAGTGTAAAAACACTGAAAGGAAGAAAGAATGGTTTAAAAAAAAAATCCATCCACCCATAGGGAGAGGATAATCATTGGCTAAGCAGAAAGCAAGTGTTGGCTAATTCACAGCCTGGTGTAATATGCACATAGATTTTACAATTAATAAATAGTATGGAAATCTTACTTTATTTGGTACCTTTTCAGCAATAATAGTTTACATCTGCCTTTCATGCCAAGGAATTCTCAAGGTAATTTACTAGAAAATAATAAAATCTGTGAAGCTCTCTCCTGTCTTGTTTTTAGTTAGACGCTCTTCCCTCCCCCACCATCTTCTCCCAAGTAGACAAGCTGTTTTGTGAGCTGAACCAAAACAGGTTCTTGACTTCCTTGACATGTATATGCTATTACTTTAATAGGTCCTGTGATACTCAGTCTCAAGGTCCTTTATTGCAAGGGAGTTAAAATATACGGAATCTTTTAAAGTAGACTTTATTTGATTTGGAAGGTGTTTAAATAATTTCAGTAGAGTGCGCCTACCCCCCCCCCTTTTTAATAGTGTCTGTCTGTGAGGATGGAATGTGTTTTTGTATCAGCCAGGCTTTCTACGTACCTAGGGAGTGATATTTTTGCTTTCTTCTGGTATTCAGACATTCCTCAGCTCACTGATTGCTGCTTGTTGGTATTTACTGTTCAGTTTTCCTGGTCTCTTGACCCTCAGAATGCAAGCTCTTACAGAGCTCATGGGATCTAGTTACATTTTTGAGATAACTTTTCTTGTTGTAAGCTTCTGGTCTTGAATAATATTGGAACTAGAAGAATGGAAGATATTTCCTGTTGAAGTTGCGTGACTACATGAACTTAAAGGCTGGCCTTTTTTTTTTAATGGGCCTTTTTCCTTTAGTTTTCCTAGGAAAACACTTCAAAAAGGCTTATGTGCCTGCATAAACTAAATCCATGGCTTCTGTGGAAAGCATTACGCAATCGGGCCAGTTACACAAACCTAGGTTATTTCATAACTTGTTTACATCAGCTGGCCTTCTCTCTCACTCTCTTCTTTCTCTCTCCCTCTTTTTTTCCCACCAGGGTTGCTTCATCTCCCCTCCTACTCCCCCCTCCCCCCAATTATTATTATTTCTTGCATAATTTGTACAAATTAACTGGAAGAGTGGGAGATGCATCAAGAAGTCATAGGATCATTTTTTAAAAATATCGCCCTATGTTAAGCTTTGCCAACAGTACCAGCCTGTGACATTCCTCACATCAAAGAACTTTTACCAGAAATGACTCAAAAGTTTCCCAGCTCACTCCAAATATACCTCGTTGGTGCCCTCTGTAGGATAATCCCAGTAGGAATGCTTCCAGGGATTGTAGTTTGGAATCAGATTATTCACTCCTTTTCAGTAAATGTGAGAAGGAGGGAGGAGAAAAGGGGGCTGGGGGAGAAGGGAATTGAGAAATTAAACATGCTTGGATAGCTTGGAGCTCTTGGTTTTTGTTTTTGTTTTGTATGTTTCAAATTCAGATCAAGTGAATTTTGCAGAGGCTGTGACACATTGATTGGCTGTGTTGAATGTGTGAGTTAATGAAGTCTAAATGAAATGAGCTAGTTTTATTTTTTCCCCCTTGTTATTTTTCTTTCAAACTGCTAGAGAGAGAGAGTGCGTGTGTGTGTGCGCGTTTGATATGGCTGCCAGAATATAGTTTCTAAGGTTACTATCTTAATAGGTCTTAGATCAGGACACTGGCTTAATAAGTACATAAGTGTTTTCTTTAAAAATCTGGGAGACTTCTCAAGACCCTCGAGTGTCTTCTTTCCCCTTGATTCTTGCAGATTTTGTAGATTCGGATCAAACAGAAGCCTCACCTCTGTTTTAGGAATTGGTCTGTTCCACTGATTCTGTACTGTGGAAATCAGCAGTTTTATTACCACATAAAATACACAACTTGCTTCTGAAGAAGAACGATTCAAAAGAAAACTTTGCAAGAAAGGCTACATCAGTCACATGTTTCAGTGGAAATCGTCTTTCTGAGCCAAAACTTTGATGTCTTGTAACTGTTCTATCCTTACGGTGCAGCACTGGGACGTTTTGTAATGTTATGTAAAATATTCTATTCCTAATAACAAATTTGCCATGTGGCGAATGTAGAATTTAATGAGGATAATATATTTGCTCTTTCAGACTGGAAGATTTCCTCCTACATATTATCCCACTGCAGTGCCTGACCTGCAAGGAAACTACTTGCAGGAGAAAAGCTTGCAATATTGGGCTGTTAATTTGTTATAGGATCATTGGGGTTGGAGGGGATCAACCTTTCTTGGGTTCATGGGCAGCAGTGACTCACTTGGAACAGCATGGAAGCTCCCCATTAAGATGAGGAAAGGAAAGTGCAGTCCCATCAGCTTGAAATATCGCACGGTTGCTGGTATATATACAGGGCTTTGTGACCCACTGATCTAGCCCATCCCTCTGCATTTTGTGGCAAGATTTTATTCATTATCTTTGGAATGTCCCTGGGAGATGGAGCATTGGAGGCCATTACCCAGTCCCCTGTTTTAGATTATAATGGAAACAGACCTCAGCCCTTTTGTAGTGAAACAGTGGGAAAGCTAGAGGAAAGTTTGTCTTTTACCAGGGAATGTGATGGTATCTTGATCTGCATGTTGCTTGGGGCCGTGCTAGGGCGATGGCTCTGTGGTATTGCAGTGGTTGTACGTTCCGGAGTGGGGTGTGGGGATCTAAAGTGTGCAGCATTACCATTTTACTATTGCTAAATGTTGTATATAGTGCCATGAATCTCCATCCCTTTGGTGTCTCTGTTTCTGAAATCTAAATAAAACATACAACAACCAATCAAGAGAGGGTGGGTGTGGGGATTACTGCTGATGAGATGAATGCTGGAGGCTATAAAGTGAGATTTGAAGGAAGGGGGGCTAAGGGAGGGGGGACTTGGTGGATGAGGGTAGGGAGAGTGTTCCAGGAATAAGGGCCAACATGATGGAAGGTTTGTGGGGAAAGGAGAAATAGTTAGAGCTGGGAAGAGCAGTGGAAGGACTAAGGGGAATGAGCTGAGATACAGGTGAGGGCAAGATTATGCAGGCCTGCTAGGCGAGGGGAAGAAATTGGCACCCAATGGACTTCAAAAGGAGGTGGAGGGGGGTCAGAGGCTGCCACTGAAAACTATGGTATCACAGTGGATTAGACCTGAAAGAATATTAGGCGCCTCGTAGGTAACCACTGTGGCATTCCAGTGGCAAAGGGCTTGGGGCTACTAGCATTTTTGTAGGGGAAAGTGAATGGCAGTGAAGTGTCTGATTTGTAAAGCAGGTGAGTTGATCGAGATGGGAAGGAGAGAGTTGCCACCATGGGAATCATGGCCCCTCGAGCGCCAATCAGAATGTGGAGATGACCACGTTTACATGGAGTAGGTAATTGTGCGTTTGGCTTAGAGACCCAACATGAGTCAGAGTGGAGCATCTTTTAAGACAGTCTTGTGATAGTGACACATCCTGTAATTAGTTAGATGGCGAAAGGAGAATAATAACGGAGGATTTTTACTGACACCTTTCGGAGTTGCCTGTCTCAGCAGAAATTTTCTAAAGCCATTTTAAGGGATTAGAAAGGAGGCTAGTGAAAAGGAGGACACATGTTCCGGCAGAAACTAGAGGTGTTTCCTTCTCCCTCTAAGCCTGTCATAGACAATTTTGTCTGGGCACAAAGGCTAATACCCTGGGTTTACAGATGGATGGTCCAAGGCTTTAACACAATCCAGGAATGCAGTTAAAGCTCCATCTACAAGACAAAACCCTGCCTTAACCCTGTATAGATGCCTTTCTCTTGTTACTGGCCCCCTGAGCTGGTTGTGTTTGGCACTGTTACCATTGCCAGGAATAGGTGTGTTGAGAAGAACTGGATCCATGTGATTGCAAATCTAAGGGCAGTGACCTTTCCATTGACATAGGGCCTGATCTCCTAATGGATTGGGAGAATTTAGTATCTGACCCTTCATCCAGATAATTTGGTGATTATTATAATTTTTATGACATGTCAGATGTGAACTCCTTCCTGGTTATGAGGAGTTGAAGGTCAGGATGTATGTCACTGTAAGGGTCATTACCCTTAGGTTTGCAATAAACTCTCCTGAATGATAATTTTGCACATCTATAGTACTTTCCATACAGGACTGTTAACACATTTTTCAATTGTTAATTTGGCCTCACAATACCCAGGTGAAGACTGTAAGAATAATTATTCCCCACTTTAAAGGGAGGGGGAACTGTAGCACAGAAAGGCGAAGATCACACAGGAAATCAGTAGCAGAGTTTGAAGTGGAACCCAGAGTTCCTGACTCTCACAGCTGTTCTTTAACTGCTAAACTAGCTCATGCTTCCTCTTTATGAGCTTAATGTCCTGGTAATTTTTCCTCTATCTCATCCCAGCACTAGTTACACTATATAATGTGGAGACATGAAGACATCCTGTCCTGTAATACAAGCATAGCTTACCTTGTTGGAGAACTGGGGGAAGAGTGGGAAATATAGCTATTTTCAGCAAACTCCTTTATAGGAGTGATGAAGAAGCAGTACAGAAGTTTGCAGCTTCTTCAGACCTCTTGGGTCTACCAAATTAGTCAGGAGATCTCAGGAAAATGGCCTTTCTTGTGAGGTTTTGAGTACATCCAGTCCTTGTTAGATTCAGGACCCAAGGTTTTGGTGGGGCTTTTGCTGAAGGTTTGATATCAGGGAACAGGTTCATTTTTACATTCCTTCCCTTAGCTGATTCACTCATTTCTTCTCCTAACTTTCCCTCTTAGTTTGGGGCTGTCTGATGCTTTAAATTAGAATTTTTCTGTGTTTTAAGTGGCTCTTTTGGGCCCAATTCTGGTTGCGTTGAAGTCATCGGGAATTTTGGCCAGTGTTACACACACAAAGTCCAATGGCTAAAGTTCTGGTCCTGTAAAAATCTGGAAAATTATTTTTATAGGCCTTGATTTAGGAAAACTCTTAAGCACATGCTTAACTTCAAGATCATCCTTAATGCTTAAGTACTCTCCTGAATCGGGGTCATGGTGGTGGTGATTTCCCGTCCCTCCAGTTTTGACTCCTATGATACCATTTTATTGACCTAAGGATATGCATTTGCACAAGATCATTTCAAGGGCCACAAACTGTTGTTAGCTGATAGTTCTCACTTCTGGTCCTAAAAGTCTATTGTCACTTCTGTATTCAAAGTTCAGAATGTTGGTGCAAGACATGTCTTTAAAACCTAATCTCACCTTTGAGTGTCTCCTGAAAGGATCTCTTCCTAGACAAAAGCATTCTTTCTCTCTTGTGTCCCCGTCCTGGACACATCATTGTTTTCCTAGTTGTTTAGTGCCAGCATATTATCCAGGTGGATTTACTTAAGTCTGACTGAAACCAGGTGTACAAGTTTTATGGAAGAGATCATTACCTATTGTCTTGGTTTTATTGCTGCCTTGTTTTGTCTAGACAATGCCAAGAGCTGCAAGGAACTTGTCCAATCTGAATCCTGAAACACATTTTATAGGCTGCATTTAAAATATGTATACATGCACATAACCGTCCCAGAGCTGGACTTTTCACATTATACCCTAGAACCTGTATGTGGTGAGCATGGTTCCACATAATGAAAGCCCTGAATTGTTGTGATGTGTCTCTGTTACCACTGCAATTCTCTATACAAACTTTCCATTCATAGAGCCATATCCTCTGGCCAAAGCTCCCGTGTTATATGGGCAGAACAGATCCCCTGTAAAAAAGTTCCACTAAACTGTACTTGGTGCTGGTGTTTATGGCTGAAGTTCTCTTCCTTTTTTTCTGGATTGATGGAGAAGTATTTTTCTAGAAACTCCTCAATTCCCCTTTTAGACTTGGCCATGACTTGCTGTGTGGGGTGAATGCTCTATACAACACGCTTTGCACTGTTTGCAGGGAGGGGAAGTGTATTATGGGAAAGAGAGGAGACGTTTGGCAGGAGTGGGATTGGAGGGGAGAGGGAAGGAGTTGCTTTGGGATTGGGGATGGGGAAGAAGAGGTTGCTTGGCAGTGAGTCTCGTTCAGGAGTGAAGTAAAACCAAACTGCACCAGAGCGGAATGGCATCAAGAGGTACAAATAATCATTGTGACAAGCGAAAAGGCCCTTCATTTCACACATCAGAACAGCATAGATCCTTCAACATGATAGGCTCCCACTGTGAGGCTTTTAGTTTTTGTTCAAGTACCAGAAGGTGCACGGGGCGTGTGCTGTCTATGCAGGTGCTCTCCGCCCCATCCACTCCTCAGGAACAAGTGCAAACACAGGCTATTCTGCATGCAAACTAAATGGCATGTGTGGGGCAAGTGCCAGATGCTAAAGCCTGTTCTGCTGGTTGCCACACCATGTTGTCTGCTTGTGGAAAGGCGCAGCTCTCCATGCCATCTGTATATCGATGGGTCACTGAGTCCTGGTTCTGGTACCTACTTAGATTCTCCCAGTGAATCTCCTTCTCCACTTGTTTCTGCTTAGACATCAATATTGTGCATGTACTGATTTCTCTCTCCCTTTTTTTGTCTCCTTCTAGAAATTCCGGATAGATATGCCAGGATCAGGCAGTGCTTTTATCCCCACCATTAATGCCATAACAACCAGCCAAGACCTGCAGTGGATGGTCCAGCCCACCGTGATCACCTCCATGTCGAGTCCCTACTCTCGCTCACATCCCTACAGCCATCCTCTGCCCAGCCTGTCTTCAATTGGTGGACATACAGCCCTTCAGAGACCTGGTGTCATTAAAACTATTGGGACCACAGTGGGCAGGAGGAGAAGAGATGAGCAGGTAACCATGGTGGATAGAATGCCTCATCCTAACTTGCAAGCTAAGCAGGTTTGGGTATAGCTGGTGTTTGGATGGGCAACTGCAAGGCAACCTTAGGTGCTGCAAGTAATAGGGCTGGTGATTCGGTAGGTGGTGCTCTGGTCTGAAACTGACTGATACCCATCCCAGCTTGGTATTGTGTTGCTGGAAGGGCTTTCTTTTGGGTGATGCCTAAAAACCCAAGGCCCTAACAACTTGTGGCTTTACAAGGATCCCATGGCACCTTTTGCAAGCGTAAGGGGGTTTTAATTCCTCTATGGCTGACTAAATTCTATTTGGCTAATTGTTTTGTCTCCCTAAAATTCCCCTCTCCTTGCATTTGTCAATGGGTAACATATTCTTCACTTCCTGTCCTCAATTTGATATGTGGTGTTATGGTGCTTTGTTAAATAGCTGCCAGGTTTCCCCTTCAGGGGTGGCTGCATTTTGGTGGTAGGTGAATTAATTCCTAGGGCCAGATCCTCAGGTGTGCCTGAACACTGCTTAGCATCCTGTGTGTGTGTGTGTGTGTGAGATGGGGAGATAGGTGGCTTTCAGCCACTCCCTCCGTTCCAGGAGTGCCAGTTAGAGTGGTTACAGTGACCCTTAAGGACTGTTCAATCAACTCCAGATTTCCGGAGCACAGCACACACTGATCACACTCCTTTCCATCCTGCCATCCGGGGCTGGCCCTTGCTTTATAAAGGCCTTTCAGGTCCCACAGGATATCGCACGAAAGGAGGTAATTTTATTGCTGTGACATCATTACAAGTTGTAATTCAGCCAAGCTCCCTCAAAGGCTTCACAAGTCTGGGCCAATCTGTGGCTTCACATCAAAAGCAGGTGAAACTCTGTAGTCTAGACTGGGTTTCAGTTTGAGTTTATTTGGCTGGGGCCTCAAACAGGAGAAAACCTCGGAACAGCTGAGTTTTACACAATCTGCTTTTAAAAAAAAAAAAAAATACCAGGGGATTGGAGGAGGGAGGGCTGACCCTGCTGGAGTGCCACACCATCCCTTCCCCTCTGGGCCAATTCCTTCCTCTTCCAGTGTGTGCCCCAACTAGCTGGTCCCACTCTGATTCCAGTGTTGTGTGCTGGAATGAGCATGAAACTAACCAGAACTGGGCCGTGGGAGGCTTTTACGGCGCAAACATATGCTTATTAAAAAGAGCCGTCTGTGTAGGGGGCGGCTGGAGATCTAAGTGTATTTCCTAGTGGGTAGGTGTCCACATCGCAAACCGAACAATGTCCGATCCCTTGGTGGCAGTCTGAGCAAGGACTGAATGATCTTGTAAACTGAGCTCGGTTTGTCCAGGGTTTTGCTGCTGAGAGGGACATTAGCATGGCTGGTGTGGGTAAGCTTGGACTGCCACTGTTCACACTGTACCTGTTATGTGGATTAATAGCAGACTGCAGCCTCCAGGGCAGTCAAACCAGTGCCTGCCATTAGTGCAAAATTCACTTCTAAAGAAACTTTAAATAATCTGGATCACCCTGTGTTACTCTGAAGCTGCACTTGTGCAGGCCTTTGCAGAGAAACGCAATGGGACGCTGCGTCTGGCCAGCAGATTAGATGGGTATTGCACAAGGTCTGTTTTTAATAAAACAATAAGCCCTACTTTTACTTCCCCATTGTCCGTTTTGATTTTCAGTCTGAATATTTTAGCCTGTCTGTTTTTGAGATTTCAAAGGCAGGCAAGGGGTTAACATTGCTCATAGTGAATGAAAATCCCCTTGGTGCAGAGAGCTAACACAGCTCCATTTTTAAGCCCTATTTTTATAAGCATATGTTTGCTCAAGAAGAGCCCAATCCTCCGTTAGGAGTAAAGAGGTGCATAGGTCTTGTGCTGGCCCCCTGCACGAGGGTGGCTTGCCCTCACTTTCACTGGGTCCAATGCTCTGTTGTCTAAAGTGGAGGAAAGCTGGCACTAGAACTAGAGAAATAATTAGCAACAAATAATTTATATGACAAACGTTACCTCTGCGTTCACAAATTGGCCGTGAAGAGCTCCTGATATCCTCCTATTTGATTGTTGTTTGACTTTATTTCCTGAAGAATGCCTGCCAGGAATTCCTGGCCTGTGGCTTGTTTGTGAGCGATTCATTGTGGGTCCTTCAGATTCAAGCTGTGCTGGTTAGATGTATGCCGTGTTCGGTACCTGATGGGCTGAATGGGACTCCTAGGATCAGATTTCTGCTGTGGGGGTACATGAATCAAATTCAGAATTCATTTTCTGAGAATATTCCATATTTGCTGAAAATAGGCTGTTTTGGTTAATGTTTCTGCCGGCAAACCCATCTACTAGCATGTTCACGCAGAATTAATACAAAAGGGGTACAAACAATGCAGAACTGGACTCCTTTAAAAACACCAAGGTCTGTTTCTATTTTTAGGCCCCAGTTAATGTTACACATGAAAATATTCTGTGCCAGCTCAGGGCCTGAGTTGTCACCAGTCGTGGTTATTCATGGGACTTGTTAAAGTGGCAACCTGAGCCAGATCATTAAACAGAACTGAAGTTACTGGGGAAAAAAATTTTGGTCGGAAACGTGTTTCAGTGGGACTTGTGCTCCTAAATCCCATTGGTGCTTTTGAGAATCCCATCCATAGGCCCCAGGTCAGCTGACAATTTAAGCATGTGCTTTAGGGCTCTGCTGAGCAGCGGCCATATAAACTGTATATATTGTATGCACACACATACATGTACATTTTGCACACGCATGGATTTATATTATGTATAATCAAAATAAAAATCACAGAAATGTATAAAGTTAATAAAAGACCAAAAGCACAATGGGATCGGTGGGAGGGGGAACACACGCAGATTAAAATGAACTTCCTGGAACGGGAATGACTGCCACAAAATATATAAATAAATAAAAACCCAGAACGAAGTTAGGCAGAGTAAAAAATCATAAAAAAGAACAGATATTGAAAACTATGACTAGCTTGTTCACAGCCCTGGAGGTTTTAAAACTGAAAGTGTTTTTTTTTTTTTAGTTAAAATGCTTCCATTATTTGTTGGCAGTTTACTTTTTTGCATTCGATCAACCTGGACGTTAACACCAGATTAGTCAGTTTCAGTTTTGTTTCTAATCAGTGGGACTGATCCTTACTGGTTTAAAGCTGCCGAGCAAGTCTGAAGTCAGTGGAGCTGTCTCGGTGCACGCCAGCTGAGGATCTGGCCCAGTGTCACTCTTTGCTTCTCATGTTCTAGCTGTGAACCCTGCATGGGAGTGATCAAATCCAAACAAAAATCTAGTTTGCATTGGTATTTAAAAATGATGGGCCAGCATCCTCAGCTGGTGTAAGTCTAGGTAGCAGCATGGGGTTCATTCAGTGTGCGGGCTTACATCAGCTGAGGAGCTGGCCTGGTATCTATAACGATGGAAGCATTTCTGTTACTGTGAGATTTTTGCAAAGGTCCCAAAACCTAGATTTTTTGAGCCTGACTTGACTGGACACTGCTGGTCATCTGCTGCCCTTGAGTACTCTGGATTTACAACAGTGTCACTCCATGGGCTTCTGAGAGAACATAATCTGCCCCAGGGGTCTTTTTATGTTGCTGGATGGTTGCCTGCAGATACAGGAAGTACAGTGTGTTATCTTGGCTGGTGCTTGGAAATATGGGGCCAGATCCTCAGCTGGTGTAAATTAGCATAGCTCCATCGACTTCCATAAAGCCACTTTGATTTGCACCCGCTGAGGATCTGGTCCCTGACCTTCAGGTTAACGACTGTGCTTGTGTGGAAAGATGCAGATATTCTGTTTTAAGAAAGAGGCGCTTACAACATCTTGCTCTGGTTTTGCTTAATGTGCCACCCACTGTCTGCTCGGCCTTGGCTGCAGATTCACTGTCCTCTTGCACAGTCCTGTTGCGCCCCTCTCTACTTCGACCCTCTTCATTATGGAGCCAATCCTAGGAGAGATGCTGAGCGCCTTCATCTTCCAGCGACCTCCCTGGGAGTTGAGTGTGTGCAGCACCTCGCAGAATCAGGCCCTTTTCGCTCTGTGGTGAACTGTTGTTCACAAAGTGCAAGGAAGGATTTGCTCAGATCTTGTGGCTTGGTTTTGAGTTTTTTTTGGTATGTGCCTACAGCTGTCACCTGAGGAAGAGGAGAAGCGAAGAATCCGGAGAGAGAGGAACAAGCTGGCAGCTGCTAAGTGTCGTAACAGGCGCCGAGAGCTAACAGAGAAACTCCAGGCGGTATGTACTCTGCACACATCTCTCCCCTCCTGGTTATACACCCCTTGGATCACTCTAAACCATGCCTCTCCTCCTGCTGGTGGGTGACACATACACTGCAAAGTTTGTACCA